GCGGCCACGCCCGAAGCCACCGCGAAACTCCACAGAAGCGTTGCCAGCGCCCACATTGCCCGTTTTGTCCGAGTCCATGGGACGCTCGGAGCGACGGTAGATGGTGCGATCGTCGCGGTCGCGGTCGCGATCGCGCTCCTTGCCCTCACGTGCTCCGCGGGAGCGAGGAACCTCGGAGGTGCGCGACATGCGCACCGGCTCGTTGCGGCGCTGCAGAGTGGTGGGCACCACCTCGGTGGGCATGTGCAGGTAGCCCCTGAGGTACTCGATGCCCTCGTTGTTCAAGCACCAGTAGTAGTGGCGCCAGGCCGACTGCTCCGAGACGTAGCCGCGCGACTTCAGTGACTGCATCGCCTTGATCACCCGCAGATTGGTCAGGTGCTTCAGCTCCTCCTCCGGGTGCATCTTCTGCGGCGCGCGCTCAGCAAACATGACTCCCGAGCGGAAGAGCACCGTGTAGATGGCATCGCGATCCTCTTTTCGCATAAACATGACTTCAATTACTCAAAAATCAAATTAAATTTCGATGAGATGAGGTGAGACGTCAACTGTCGTTTGATGAAATGATTTTGCCTCGTCACGTGCAGTGTTGCAAAACACTTGTATTGCCAGGAGTCAGTGCTGCAAAACGTGCAACTATTGTACATTTCTTATTAGCAAAGTGTTTGAAATAGGAAGTTTCCGATTGTTTTATAATCAGTCAATGTAACATTAATATCGAATGCTATCATAAGTCTAATGCTCATAAATATAAGTAATTTGTGGATGCAGCAAGCAGTTGGAAAACTTATTTGAGTAATTACAAATATATACATAGCTTACATATACATATACATATGTATGTATGTATGTTAGTCATGTTAGACACTAGCAAATATACATACACACATATACAGTTTAACTCCTACATATGTCTTCATACAGCAGCAACTAGTTGGGAACGAATGGACTAGGTATACATACCGATATTATGAAGACATTATTGGTACATCCTCTTATACACATACATACGTAGGTGAGGCTTCCACCACGAGCCAAATACTTTCTAGTGCATAACTCATACTTTCACTCCGTGAGATCAGCTCTCAGGCTGGTTTTGGTATGTCACACGCCTTCCCATTGGGCAGTTCCCAGTGCCACTCATGTTTCACCTCCTCTCTCTATCATTTCGACATATCGGACTCAGCCTCTGTCTGCGGTGCATATAGTAATAGAATGGTATACAGGTACAAGTGTGAAGTCAAGCGCAAGAGCCTCATCATATTTAACTGCTTCACATAATTATAGAGTCTCTCTGCTGTACTGCCAGAGATCTCCATAGAGTGTGTGCATATACTATAAGACCAACGCTTTCATTTATATGATAATCATTAACATTGAACGATAAGCTCGTTCTCTTGCCTTTAATGACTTTCGCAATTACCTTAAAGATCTGTGTAACCCAATTCAGCATGGGACTAACATAATTATAAACAAACTTATTTACAGCCCTTTCTAATGCGCTGCATGAATTCAGAGCTCAGCTAGCTGTAAGCGAAATGGTCGCGATGGCTAGTCCTAGTGCGAGTCCTTGTCATCGGCGTCCGTTTTATCGTTCAGCAGCATTTCCATAATTAAAGGCATCTACGGAAGCGGGCTATGCGCATCTATATTCATATATTGATAAAGTTGTAAAAGTTGAAAGTTGCGCAAAACAATAAAAATAAATTCTAATGAAGATGGCCGGACAGCATGGCGCAGCCAAGGACCAGGAGCCAGCAACAGGACACGGCCGGGGCGCCATTTGTGCCAGCAATTTTCTGTTCTTACATAAGCCCCAGGACCGACCGACAGATGAGACAGTGGGCGTGCTTGCGGAGTGGGAGAAGGAGTGGCAACTGGTGCACTTCCGTAATTTTGCCGAGTAAAAGCGAGAAAAACAATCGAATAAACTGTCGGAGCATCAAAATTCAAACGTCAAAAGGAGGCGAAACCATCAGCCAGCAACCCTTGCCCACCCACACCCACACCCGCACCAACACCCAACGCAGCCCAGTCAGCCCAGTCAGACAAGTCAGCCAAGTCAGCCAGCCCACTGACAGCTATCCAGTCAAGCGTCAAAGTTCCTAATGCACACAACAAATTTCTTACATAGTGAGATGAAGATAGAGGAGTGCCGAGAAGAGGCTGGACGTCAACGAAGAAGAAGAAGAAGAGGAAGAGGAAGACAACGACAACGACGCATCAGGCAGAATGTCGTGGACAAAATGACGTTGTCACGAAAATTGCAGAATATAAAATTCCTAGTTCCGGCAACGCCCGATGCCCTACGCCCGATGCCCGATGCGACAGACCCGGCACCAAAACCACATGCACATCCGCCTGCCTCGCTTCGATTTTTGTCCAAGGACGCCGCTCGAAAATACACTATAAAAATATATAAAATAAAGAAGACGATGGCGCAAAATACTAAAAAAAAAATCTAAGATGGGATGAAAAAGTGCAGAAGCAAAAATAAGCAGGATTCGGGCAAGAGAGAGGGAGAGAGAGTGAGCGAGAGGCGCGCAGGACGAAGAAACTTTTCAAAAATTATTGAAATGTCACGTAGCAACTTCTCAAATTGCAAAAATCCTGACGCTGTCGTTCAATGTGCTGTGCGGATTGATAGAGCGAGCCGAGCCCGAGTGACTCGAGCCAAGACGTGGCCCGAAGGGAGCAAAAGGGACAAGCGCTGCACTTGTCGCCTGCAGTTGCTGCCAGAGCAGGAGCAGGAGCAGGAGGAGGAGCGTTAGCAAGAGAGAGAGAGGGAAAGAGACAGAGAAATAGAAAGGCAGTACTAGATTCTGATGGCGCAGTCATGGACTCGGACGCTGACACTAAGACGCCAGCCCCTGCCAGCATCCCAGCTGAGGTCCCAGTCAGGCGCAAATCCAATACACAAGCCCCATTCCTGTTGGCCTGCCCCATTCCCAAGCGAACCGCAACTCAACGTGCGAACGACAGTTTGACCCGAGACATTTTTGGGTGGCACGGCATCATCATCAGGATGCTGGGCAGAGATCGAGGCATGGGCAACGTCTTGGCCATTACAGCCACACCAAGGCTAGGCAAGAAGAGGGAGAGAGAGAGAGAGTCAACGTCTTCGACGTCCTCGTCAATCGTCAAATGTCGCCAAGACGCTGTCAAATGCAGGAAAATGACGGGCAGACATACAGATGGACAGGCGAACGGATGTGGATGCGGATGCGGATGCGAAGTCGTAGCCGTGCCATGTTGTCGCTGGCATTAGGCAACTAACAGCAAGCCCCAACCCAGACCCAACCTCAACCTCAACCTGACCCAGCCCAATTCAACCCAGCTCGACCCCTGCTCGGAAAAATCTGCGAGCAGCGCAGAAAGTTTTCATGACTTTTCTTTTATTGCACATTTCAACAAAACGATTGATGGCTTCCATGACACACTGGGCGCCGGGGGAGGGAGTGGAAACGAGCAGGCAGACTCCTTCTGCACAATATTCACAAGTTTCCTTGGCTCTGCCGGAGCAGTCGAACAGTCGTCCCGACGATGCTGTAATATGATGGCGCAAGGATTAGTCTGACGTGGCGCATTTCTTTTATACTTCTTAGCTAGACATTTTGTTTCATGTCGAGCTTCCATCTCGCCAAAATGCCCCATCAACCCGCACCCGGGCAATTTTATTGACGTGGCCCTCATCAATGCGGCGTCCACTACGAAACGAACCAGAAGCAACGCATACGGATTTCCTATGTGCAGGTTATATGTACATACGTATATGTATTTGTATTTGCTCTTTGCTGTATACTCTTCTCGGAATAGAAACTTTGATCAACTTGAGCTGCTTGAAGATGACCTACCTGAGTTGTATACTCTTAACAGTGAATCAACCATGAATCCTAACTTCCTAAGAGATGATCTGTTCTTGAAAAGTGAATAGATTGAGAGCCCATTCACAATAAATTTTGTAATCTCCAACATAATCATCGGCTGATCTTTCAAACTGTTTCAATCATAATCTAATTCAATCATGATGTATTGAATAAATATAATCAACTCGTTCTCATTATTTTCCATTTCATTTGTTCTTAGCAGCTTTTCCCATATTTGTTAAGAGTATTCTCGCATCGTTCAATCGTCTGCTTGATTTGCCTATCTTGTGGTCAGCATCAAAGTTTCCTTCCTTGCCTTTCGCAACATTTCCTCATCTTTTAGCCAGTGCTGCCCCTTGGCAGGGTGCGCGCGGACGTGCCACGTCTCTGATGACAAGCAAGAACAATTTTTGACTGATGCGCTATATGTTGGACGTCCACTTGCACGTTCGAGTTGTAGTTTGAGTTTTGGTCGGTTGAAAAGTTTAAGCAATGAGCTTGAGGTTTGAACTCTGCTCCAGCATAGTTTCCATTTTTCCATCTCTCTCTCTGTTAGAGCGTTAAAATGAAAAACACTCCACATTTGCCGAATTCAAGATCTTA